AGATTATCCAGCATTCACTGCCACATAGGAAGACTGATATTACATAACAGTTAAAAACTTTTTTCTTTTATAGTGAAATTTTCCTGTTTCTTAATACTTTTCTTAGCTTTTGGAAGGCACCTTTCGCTATCCCAATACGGCTTTGGATTTCGGTGTAGATTTACTATAAATTAAAATTTAAAATTTTTGCATTTGTTTAATTTTCGCGTCTCCAATTTATAATTCGTGTGTTTGTCTGTTTCCTTCGCCGACATCAATAAATTCAGCTTTCTTACAATTGACATTTAGTCCTTTCTTCTCGCTTTCCTGTAATTTCCTTTTTATGTCTGTTATCAACAATGTGTCATCAGCATATTTAATGTTGTCGAGATTGTAAATTAATAATGAACCCTGGAAATATCTCTTGCTCACTCAGGATTGCTTCGCTGTAAATGGTGAATAAGTTAGTCAGCTGTTTTATTCGTGTCGTTGTCTTCCTCCAGTGTAATGGATAGAATTTCGGAATGAAAAAGTCGAAGAGCCGAGTTTGAATTCCAGTCAAGTTCATTACATTTAAGTACGTGTAAATACCCCTTATGAAAAGTACGAATCCATCTCCTTCTTTCATCTATGGGTTAAATATTAATACTTGCACAGGGTGTTTTACAATTGTTGAAACAGAGAAGCGGCCTCTCAGATGGGGAGAGCTTGAGGAGCGTGAGGACCTTGTGAGGAGGACCAGTGGTTTCCACAGGATGTTGCTCCTCTTCACATTGCCAATGTTACCATGGCATGGCTCCGTGAAATGTTTGGGGAGCGTCTCATCAGCCGCAAAGCTGAAGTGGAATGGGCACCTCACTCACCTGACCTGAACGACCCTCCCAGATTCTAGGGTTCTTCAAGAACGACATCTACCAGGACAACCTTCACACTATTGCTGGATTGAAGGCAGCCATCTTTGAGAAGATTCAAGCGATCACCCAGGAAGAATGTGTAAGTGTCATCAACAACTTCAACTCAACAGCGGACATCTGGAGACAAGGGCTCCTCTTGACATGTTTGGTTCAATTCTGCAGATTAAAATTGGCTGTGTTTAAATTACTGTTTTCTGCGCTATTTTCAACCATATATATATATATATATATATATATATATATATATATATATATATATATAAGGCAGGATGTGTGTGTGTGTGTGTGTGTGTGTGTGTGTGTGTGTGTGTGTGTGTGTGTGTGTGTGTGTGTGTGAAATGAATGCACGGCCGCAATTTTCGACGGATTTGCACCAAGATTTACATGCACATGCTCCAAGTTAGCGGGAAGGCTAAGACCGACTTTGCATTTCCCAACTCCCATCGATAGTGGAAATAATTGATTTTTTTCATGCTTCGACGGCACTTTTCATCTAGTTTGCGGCCATTTTTTACTGGCCAGCGTGAGAGCCAACAGCTGACTGATACGAATATTAACAAGCATGCGAGCATGCAAAAAGAAAATCGATACCTGCATTCGTCACAAGTGGGAAAAATTTAAATCTGCATGGCACTTTACACCAATTGGCTCATTCGCTTGCTTAAACTCAACGTTCATTCTGTTTCCGCAGAACTGGGTTGGGTGTGAAAAAGTATTTTCCAGTTACGAGTCCTTTTTTAAAGCTGATCATTTTGTGTTCATTTTGTTTAGTTCTTGTTTCGTAACAGATTTAATGTTTAGTATAGAGCTTAGAAAAAATTCGCAGTGTGAGATAGGCAAAGTAAGTCATGTAGCAACATCAGCACGACAAAGGGCACTCCTTTAAAGGCAAGGAAGTGCGAAAATATTTTAAGTCAAGTGATTTTTGAATCAAGCATGTGCAACGCCGGGCCATGCTGCTAGTGTATATATATATATATATATATATATATATATATATATATATATATATATATATATATATAATTATTTATTTAAAATATGATTCCAAACGCTACATAAGAGGTCTCATGTTTCAAAACAAGAGCCGAAAAACTACAATATAATTATTTGAATTAAATTGAATTAAAGTAAGCTCTGTTCCATCTTCAAGCGAAATTTTTTTTGGAAAAAAATGATATTTATGCTCTACTTTTGTATCGAGCACTATTTTTAAAAAATAATGACAAAAATACTAAAGAACTTTGGATTATTTACCTAACAAGTTCTTTCCTATTTTATATATATTTTCACACACACATATATATATATATGTACATATATATATATATATATATATAAAAGTGGACATAGAAGTCAACAGTTAGAGGCAACAGTCTGTTTCATCTTTCTTTTTATATATATATATATATATATATATATATATATATATATATATATAAAACAGAGAATGTTTGTGTATATGTCTGTCTGTCTGTGTGATATCTTTTCACTCGAGATCCGTCCAACCGATTTTGACCAAACTTGGCAATTACTTTGTACATGTAAGAGATAGGTTCTTATTGTAAAAAATCGATTATTTTTTAAAAATCGATAATCGAAAGAGCCGGTCAAAAATCCATAAATTCAACTTTTTTCCTACGATTTCGTTCAAACTCGGTATGTAGGTTACTTACAGGATGACGAGCTCAACGATACCTCATTTCTATTTCTACGTCACTGCGTTTAACGAAAAACCGCGAACAACGAAAAATCGATTTCGACACAAATTTTAAACTAAAAACTCCCTCAATTTTCAAGCAATCTAATACAAAATGCATTTAATTCTGGCCAACAATAAGTTGTTTAACTTGACAATTGAGTCCAGCCATATCGTGAAAACCCGCGTAAGTAGCGAAAAATGGCGATTTTTACTGGTTTCTTTCTTATTTTTCGCTGATCTTTCAACGGATTTTCATAAACTGAACAATTGCTTTATAAATGTGTCCACTTTTACATCCTTTGTAGCACACTGACAAATTGAATTTCAAAAACTCCAAAGTAATTGTGGTCTGAAGTGGGTTTTCATGTTGCCTTTTTTGCCCCTTCATGTCCTCGGCTAACTTTGGTTGAAGATATACAGATGATTTCTGTTATATCTGTAACTGCATTAATTCAAAATGTTTTTTTTTTAATGAAAGTACTTAAAAGTAATTGAAAAAGATAGACTCTGTTACATCTAAACATGATGCTGTTTTTTCTCCATTTTAATTGCACGCTTTTTCAGATCGATCAGCTGGGTTTGGCTGCTAGTATATATATATATATATATATATATATATATATATATATATATATATATATATATGAAAAATTCTCTGAGTTAACCTGTAGAAAAAGACAATTTTTATAAATGTAAAAGACAATAGGAAAACAGTATTACTGACGCGTTTCGTCTAATGTTCATACTATTAACTGAAATTACGTCAGTAACTGTCACGTGTGGAGATATTGTATCAAGAAATCAAAAAAGAAAATAGTTGATTCCGTCAACACGGCAATAAAAACAATATCTCCAATAGATAGATAGATATTGAAGAGACTGGGATGATAGATAGATAGATAGATAGATAGATAGATAGATAGATAGATAGATAGATACCGATATATATATATATATATATATATATATATATATATATAGATAGATAGATAATGAACAGAGTGGTATATATATATATATATATATATATATATATATATATATATATATAATCTAACAGTGATCTCATCTCACAATCCTCACTGTTGCTCCATATGTTGCCTCCTTTGTAAATCACTAGCGGGTCATAAACGCCACTTAAGATTATCGCACAAAATTTCATAACTGAATCAATAAGCTGTCAGATCCTCATACGTCGAAACCGTCGGAGAGTCCATTATATATATATATATATATATATATATATATATATATATATATATATATATATATGTAGATAGATAGATAGATAGATAGATAGATACATACCCTTCGATATTTATTGGATTTAGAAGGGTCTGTCATAAAATTTTCCTATCTTTGCTCTACGGTGAATGATGCCGATTATTAAAAGCTTCTACGTTTTAGCGCAAAAGAAATAAAATATGGCAAATTTATTGAAATTGCATTAAATAAAGCTTCATTAGGAGCTGCAACTTTCATTTGCTTTTATTACAATTATTTACAATCTATTATTTCACTTAAGCTTTTTTGTGTTTTAAATATATCAGTATTTTAAATCATTTCCCGAAAGTTATAAGTTCGGGCCTAGATTTCTAAAAAAAAATTTTTTTCTGCTCTTCTTGTATCCGCTGATAAATTCCCCCCACCACATCTCTAAATATATATATATATATATATATATATATATATAAAAAAGTGAACATAGAAGTCAACACTTAGAGGCGACAGTCTGTTTCATGCTATATGCAATCGTCAGGCCACATATGCTGTTATTTTTCTCGGCTATTTATATATATATACGGGTTAGTGGTGCATTGTGGGTATTCTATTCTATTCTGTTCCCGCCAAAAAAGTAATAGTTAGAATGAACTACAACAACCAACCCCAAAATTGAACAAATAGCTTTAATTAAATTCTCAAACCAAAACAAAACTGTTAAATAAGTGATTTAAACAAATTTTTACTACGTTAATAAATAAATAAATAAATAAAATAAGAAACAAAAAATAAAAATGAGCAATATAATTTGACCCAAATAAATAAACAAAGCTACTTCCGGTAAAAATAACCGCCATAATAGAATACCCACAATGCACCACTAACCCGTATATATATAAATAACCGAGAAAAATAACAGCATATGTGGCCTGACGATTGCATATAGCATGAAACAGACTGTCGCCTCTAAGTTTTGACTTCTATGTTCACTTTTATATTTACACACGCTCTATCTCTGATATTGAGCACTTTATCCCATAAATATAGCACACCTTAAGACTATATTTCTTTATATATATATATATATATATATATATATATATATATATATATATATATATATACAGAGACACTATCCAAATGACAGTTGTTTAAAAGTCATTAAAAAAAAAAAGTAAGATCACGGTCGATGGAGATATTATATTTATCAGGGCAACACCGTGTCACATGCGGCCACCCTGAAAGACATTTGCACAAAGGACTCGGCCAACGGCTGTTGCGAATAGATCACGACGTGTCGTCATTCAATAGACGATGATTATGTTCCATGCGGGTGCGAGCGTGCGACCCCGAATCGGCGATGAGGTCGACTTAGTTGTCCCTGATCATTGGATTACTTTTAATGCAACACTGGGAGGCAAATCTAATCGGCAACAATAAAAGGAACAAAAAGAAAACCGGGTACAGAAACATAAACGGGAGGAGTATTAGAGGAACATTTTCACCTGTGTTATCAGGTAGTCTTTGTATGAGATCAAGTGACAACAAGTCTCCTCAAGAATACTCTACATTCTAAACAGTAATCGTATCCTCAGGTTTTGTTTAGAAAAAGGAAACAAAATGGGCAGGTGTACCCGACATCAAAAAGTGACCGGTGACAAGCCTAGCGTACATAATAAGGAAAGAGGGCTTGGGAAATTTGACACTCACAGGGCATCTTGTTGTCAGCTGTGTTCCCATAGATCAATATTAACTTTAGATAGATAGATAGATAGATAGATAGATAGAAGAGACTGAGATAGATAGATAGATAGATAGATAGATAGATAGATAGATAGATAGATAATGAACAGACTAATAGATAATGAACAAACTGAAATAAAGAAATACTGAAAATAGATAGATAGATAGAATCTCGTGTTAAGTTCGACTTAATTGTCCCTAATCATTGGATTACTTTTAATACAACACTGGGAGGCAACAATAAAAGGAACAAAAAGAAAACCCGGTACAGACACATAAACGGGAGTAGAAATATAGGAATATTTTTCACCTGTTATCAGGTAGTCTTTATATGAGATCGACTGACAACAAGTCTCCTCAAAAATACTCCACCTTCTAAACAGTAATCGTATCTTCATGTCGGTCAGTCATAATTTTTTTTTTAAATTTTTCAATCGTTTTTTTTCTTTTTTTAGAAAATGGAAACATAATAGCCCTGTGTACTCAACATCAGAAAAGGCGACTGACATCCCAAGAGCACGTAATAAAGAAAGTGGGCTCGGAAAATTTGACACTCACATGATATATTTTCACTGATATATTTTCTAAGGTTACCAAGGAAGGATTCCAAGAACTGAATTTATCACAAGGAAAACTAATCTATATATGTCTAAATTATTAAACCAAACCTGTTTGAATGAAACTATGGCGTATATATGTATATATATATATATATATATATATATATATATAGAGAGAGAGAGAGAGAGAGAGAGAGAGAGAGGCACGGTGGATTGAGGAATCGGAGAGCCGAGTTCAAATTTCAGTCGAATCCATTAAACTCGCTAACGTGCTAATACCCTTGGGAAAGGTAATAAATCCTCTTCTTCTCTTCTATAGGTAAATAGCAGACCGGGTTCTATAGACTTGGATGGCAACTGGTCTACCGCAGAAAGAAATGGCAACCTACTGCGGGAAAAAGTCGGCCTCGTCAGTCATGTAACGAAAGATACATTATCGCTTAAGCGTGTATCACAAATGGCACATAACTGAATTGATACACACAGACACACAGACGCACACACACATATATATATATGTCTATCTCGGTCTGCTTATATAAATATGAGCAGACTGAGATAGACAGATACAAATAGACTGATATATATATATATATATATATATATATATGTTTGTATCTATCATATTTATCTATATATTTACCTATCCACCTATCTTTTACAATTTCTGTTCATATCTATCTTTCTGTCTATATATCTCAGTCTATTTTTATCTATCTATCTATCTACCTGTCTGTCTGACTGTCTATCTATCTATCTATCTATCTATTCTTGCTTTCTCTTGTTTTCCTGCCAGTTGGAAATCCTCATCTGTTGTAGCTTTCTGCCTATTGAGGGAAAACTACTTGAGGTTCTAATCAATGATGTTCATTATCTATCTATCTATCTATCTATCTATCTATCTATCTATCTATCTATCTATGATTCTTCATATCTATCTCAGATTCATCATATCTATCTATCAATCTATCTATCTATGTTCATTATCTCTTGATCTTAGTTTGTTCATTATCTATCTATATATCTATCTGGCTTTGTTCATTATTTAACTATATATGTCTCTCTCTCTCTCTCTCTCTCTCTCTCTATATATATATATATATATATATATATATATATATATATATATATATATATATTCATTATCTATTGATCTCAGTTTGTTCCTTGTCTATCAGTCCGTTTATTATCTATTTATCTATCTATGTTCATTATTTCTTGATCTCAGTTTGTTCATTATCTATCTATCTATCTATCTATCTGACTTTGTTCATTATCTATATATATATATATATATATATATATATATATATATATATATATATATATATTGATCTCAGTTTGTTTATTGTCTATCAGTCCGTTCATTATCTATCTATCTATCTATGTTCATTATCTCTTGATCACAGTTTGTTCATTATCTATCTATCTATCTATCTATCTATCTATCTCTCTCTCTCTCTCTATATATATATATATATATATATATATATATATATATATATATATATATATATATATATGTTCATTATCTATTGATTTCAGTTTGTTCATTTTCTATCTATCTATCTATCTGGCTTTGTACATTATCTATCTATCTATCTATCGTTAAGCCGTTTCACAATCATGTCACCCCTAGTACTTAGCCTCCAAGATCTCTCGATTTAAACTACATGGGACCTTGTTGAGAGGGAGCACTAACCCTATACCAAGGATACGCTGAAGGCTGCTGTTGGGTGTCATGGCTGACATGAATAAAGAAAACCTGATCAATGCATGTTATCGTTTTAGAGGTCACATCGAAGCTGATGTGGATTATAGTTAATAGACATACTTTCTATATAAATGAACATGTGTACTAAATTCTCTCAAAAATCGATTGTTTTCTCTCTTACCTTAGCTATGAGTAAATGGGACGGATTCAGTCCTATAGCCTTGAGGCTTACGGTCACATCATGCTCAAATATCTGTTCCGTATGATCACCGTAGTTCAGTATCGTCGAACGGTGTCAGATGAGTGTCCTCTTGTGAATACCAGGTGCTGTAAGCTTGGATGTGCTGCTGATGTAATTGATAACGGTTAGGAATTGTTAATTTTAGAGTCGAGTTCGTTATATACGCGATAGGGAATCCCATAATCTATCAGGGTCGTAGGGGCACCCCACGTACGGCATCCGCAGTGGAAATGGTGTTTCGTAGGCAAGATAGCCTGACGGAGCCCAACCCTCTCCGGGCAGCTTTTAAAGGCCGAATACTTTATTTCCGAAGCGTGCAACGACCGAAATGTCGTGAATAGGACAATAAAGCCGAGGTCAACAGTCTGAACCATGTAAATAATTAAAATACATCATCTCAGAAATATAGACAGAGAAACATCCTTATCTTACGTCTTTTACTATTTTTATATACTTCAATTGATTTTCTATCCGTATACAGTCGAACTTTGTTACTATTGCCATAGAATACTGCAACCTAATGCCGACTGCGTAAACTCAAGAGAAAGTGCCTATTTACGAATGTGCAGTAGGATTTTTGATTTATTGTTTTTTAAAATCTTATCAACCCTTTATAAGAAATTTAAAACTGAAATATATTTTTGATTATATTGTTTGTTTGTTTGTTTGGGTTTTATGGCATATCAACCACTGTGGGTTATTTAATGCCAAATCCAGTTTATATGAATTTTAAATGCCTATTTAGTATGGAATAAAAACGTAAAGCTGGCAACATTATTGTTTCAAAAACGTATAGCTGGCAACATTATTGTTTCAAAAACGCATAGCTGGCAACATTATTGTTTCAAAAACGTACAGCTGACAATATTATTTTTTACAAAAAAACGTATAGCTGGCAACATTATGGTTTCAAAAACGTATAGCTGGCAACATTATTGTTTCAAAAACGCATAGCTGGCAACATTATTGTTTCAAAAACGTACAGCTGACAACATTATTTTTTACAAAAAAACGTATAGCTAGCAACATTATGATTTCCAAAACGTATAGCTGGCAACATTATTGTTTCAAAAACGTATAGCTGGCAACACTATTGTGTCAAAAACGTATAGCTGGCAACATTATTGTTTCAAAAACTTATAGCGGGCAACATTATGGTTTAAAAAACGAACAGCTGACAACATTATTGTTTCAAAAACGTACAACTGACAACATTATTGTTTCAAAAACGTATAGCTGGCAACATTATGGTTTCAAAAACGTATAGCTGGCAACATTATGGTTCCAAAAACGGATAGCTGGCAACATTATTGTTTCAAAAAACGTATAGCTGGCAACATTATTTTTCCGAAAACACTATCTGAGACACTACTGTTGGATGTAGTTTATCGCTGTACCCAGGACGCGGATGTAGTTTATCGCTGTACCCAGGACGCGGATGTAGTTTATCGCTGTACCCAGGACGCGGATGTAGTTTATCGTCATACCCAGGACGTTCAAAAACGTATAGCTGGCAACATTATTGTTTCAAAAACGCATAGCTGGCAACATTATTGTTTCAAAAACGTATAGCTGGCAACATTATTTTTCCGAAAACATTATCTGGGGCCTTGCTGTTGGATGTAGTTTAATGCCATACCCAGGACGCGGATGTAGTTTACCGTCATACTCAGGACGTGAATGTAGTTTATCGTCATACCCAGGACGTATTTTTGATTATAAGAATAATTCTTTATATATATATATATGTATATATATATATATATATATATATATTTGTGCGTGTAATATTGTATTAATACCTTTGTAGAGATAATAATGATTTTAAGATACAATTCCTACTATTTAATCCACACCTGTGGGGGAAGAAGAAATGGATTCATGCCTTACGCCAGGGTATTTGCGTTCAAGTGAATGCGAATCCGATTGGAATTCGATCTCGGTTCTTCGATTTCGAGCCGTTAAATATTACACCACCCACTCATCCCAGCTTACTGCACCAAATATTCCCAATCAGTCACCCATCTAGATACTAATACAAGCTCTACGGTGTCTAATGTTCCGTAGAAAGACGACCATCGCTACACTAATGGTTGAACCTAGACTGAGTTGGAACATTGGAACAGTAGTCGTAAACTGGGCCGCAAGGTGTGTCGTAGGCATTGCCACACTATGTACGATATTCGGTATTGTATTTTGAATCCATGTGATTAAATAGTTTCTTCGCCAATCTTCTCTTCCAGTGTTTTGTAATATCTCTCATTAAAATGGCTGAACACAATCCGTGCAGATTTTACAATTGTCGTTTTACTAACGGTCATCGTAATTATACGTTTATTATATGAAGCATAGCAGCCATTGTTTTATAACATCAATAAAGTTCAGTATGATGATGATTGTAAGCACTTCCGGTCCCACTAGGGAATGTTGGAAGGCAAACCGACCAAGTGGGAATTTTGAATAAAATAGTCTTTGAGTTCAGCACGGCTCGAGTCTTTGTAATGATTCAGCTTTTCAGCAACAAGTCTCATGTAGTTAACTTTTCTATTCTAAGCCCAGTGGAACAACTATTTTATAAATTTTTGACTAGTTTTTACTTTCATATTAATTTTTTTTTATTTAATAAATCATTGTCAAACATTATTATTAATTTTTGACTATTCTTTATTTTCTTATTGAATTTTTATTTAATAAATAATTGTCAAATGTTATTATTACTTTTTGACTAGTGTTTACATTCATATTGATTTTTTATTTGATAAATCATTGTCAAACATTATTAATTTTTGACTAGTTTTTACTTTCATATTAATTTTTTTTTAATAATTCATTTTCAGCCATTATTATTCATTTTTTGTTAGCATTTACTTTATTTCAGAAGTAATGTTATTAATATTAACATGATTTAGCTAATCTTAGTACGGGAATGAATGAGTTGAACAAGGACAGGAGGATTATCTTACGCCAATCTCCAAAGTGTGAAATATGTCGGTACCCCCAGCCACCAAACACGCTCCTTGTTATATTTAATGCAACATAAAACAAATTGGTGGTAGTGGGTTAGTGATAGCGATTGTCACACTCCCCCCCCCCCAAAAAAAAACAGGGAGGTGTGTGATCCGGACTATAGGCTAAAAATGGTACAATTGATAATTAATCGTTTAAATGTAAAAAATGTAAATAACACTGACATCTCATTTTAACAGATATATTTACCAAAATTATATAAAAATATCTTGAAATACTAAAGAGCAAATTTATTCAATGAAATCCCCATTGGCTTCAACCCTGGACTCCAAAAGACTTCAGAATCTCCTGCAACTCTTCTGGACGGTCTCCTTGTTTAATTTCTTGAATGCTGCCATAATCCTTGCCTTCAGTTCATCATTGGTATTAAAAGGAGTTTTTTTTTTTTTGTTTTTTTTTTTTGTCTCTCGCTCAACTGTGCCCCACACATAATAATCAAAGGGGGTGCAGTCTGGGGTGTTTCTTGGCCAGATGTAAAGGGCGATTGGGTCGCAGCAATTGTCTAACAGCTATGATGGGTTCTCCTGCTTTTGTGACATGGCGCAGAGTTCTGTTGCCTGACATAGGATCTTCCAGCAGCCACCCTCTTGACCCAGGACAGCACTACCTCCTCAAGGTTCTTGATGTAGGCTTCCGTGTTCATTCAGAGCCTCTGTGAGAAGATGAGTGGAGGCTTAACGTCGCCATCACTTGTGATCACACCAAACACCTTCGTAATCCCCATTAGACTCATCCAACTCTTTCCGAATCATCCGCACTGTCCTCAGATTGACACCCAAACATTCTGAAATGTTTGTATTAGAGTTTCGGGAGTGAATGACAGGCAGTACAGCATGTCGTTTCCAAATCTTTTGCGGAGTGAATTAAGTCGGGATGTTTAAAAAAAAAAAAAAAAAAAAAAAAAAACAGTGCCCAAGTGTTTCTACCGCACAGCCGACAAAATCCAAAGCAAAACGCACGGGCGAAATTAAAATGGCGACAATTTACCCATTGCAACATCTCTCTCTCTTTCTCTCTCTCCTCTATATATATATATATATATATATATATATATATATATATATAGTCGTCGACTATCCCGTCGAATTCGACGTATGAGGGTCAATCAGATCAGTTCCCAGGAAACCGACAGCCCCACAACAGCACATGAGATTTGATTATAGTGGTGAAGGTTTCGTGCAGGACCATCCACACTTTTTGAAGGGACGAATACAGTGACCTGGTGCACTAAGTGCCACAAGTTCCCCAAACGATCCTCCGCAGGTTTTGAATTCAGAGTTGTCTTTCTCCTAGACCAGTTGCCATCCAAGGCTATAGAAACCAGTCTGCTCTGCTATTTACCCATAGCTGGAGGGAGAAGACGACGATTCAGACCTTTCCCAAGGGTATTAGCACGTAAGTGAATGTAATGGATTCGACTGGAATTCGAAACCAAGTCGCTATTCATTACTCCACCATGCCTCCTATATATATATATATATATATATATATATATATATATATATATATATATATATATATATATATATATATATATATATATCGCAATATATATTCCTATTAAGAAAAAAAAAAAAGGATTAAATAGCAAATAAAATTCCAGAGTTTTGGCCGGAGAGGTTAGACCTACAGAGTTGAAATAGACTTTAAAAGGAACCTTAAACCCAATCCTAAACAGGAATCAAAGGATAAACATCTACTCCTGTTCAAATGACCGGAAAGCGATATGAACCGGATGATAGGCGAACCTATCTACCACTATGACTTCTATTCAGAATCGCTTGACAAATGTAGAAGGCTAAGGTCACCGGGGATAGGAGGTTGTGAAGAGCCATGTTCGATCTCAGCACAAAGAAGAAGAAAGGTACAGGTAATTCAACCAGGACCATGCTCTTATTTTATCAACAACTGTTGCGCCACCTACATACTTTTTTTTTCGTACTAATGCGATAAAGAATTCCCCCGCGTACCTTACCATTACGCGTTTATATCTAAAACGTTTACTAGCGTGACACCCACAGACGGACCATATCTCATTAGGTCCATGCTGGGCTAAGTCGAATAATTATTCACTGACGGCTCATTTCTCAAATACCTAACAAGTTAAAAGCAAACAAAATAAAAAAATAAAGCTATCCAAAGGTTTAGGGATTAACTTTTCTTTGGACTTTCTTTATCGGTTTGGTTTTGAAAGGATCTGTTTATGACAGGTTCACAATGGCAGGAAAATCCCCAAAATGATTTGTAAAAGGAACGTTTAAGTAAAGAAGATAAAGCAAGTCTCCTGGACAGCTAAATAATTTATTATCTGCTTAAGTTGTATGGAGTTTGTTAGGATTTGCTCTATCCGATTCTTCTTCTTCTTCTTCTTCTTCTTCTTCTTCTTCTTCTTCTTCTTCTAACTCTTCTCTTTCTTCTCCTCCCTTTTCTTTCAACATTCTTTTTTCTTCTTCATTGTCTCTCTTTCATAACCCTTCTTCTTCCTCTTTTTCTTTCTTACTTCCGGTTCGCCATTTATTCTTCCCTTTGCTTTTCCTTTTATCATTTACTTGCTCCTTTTCTTTCTTTTCTTCACTTGTTTTTTCTTCTTTACGCCATTATCTCCTTCCATTAATTTCTCAATTCCTACTTCTTCTTCTTCTTTTTCTTCTTCTTCTTCTTCTTCTTCTTCTTCTTCTTATTATTATTATTATTATTATTATTATTATGTCTTTCATTCTTTCTTTCTTTTGCCTTTGTTCTTTTCTTCGCCTTTCTTTCTTTGCCTTTTTTTCTTCGTCTTTCTTTTTATGTTTTTCCTCTTCCTTTTCTTCCTACTTCTGTTTGCTTTTTTCTTCTTCTCTTCTTCATCTCCTTCATCTATTTTCTTTTTTTCTTCATTCTTTCTTTTTGCCAATCTTCTTACCACTCATCTTCTCATTTTTTATTTCTTCTTCATCTTCTTCTTCTTCTTCTTCTTTTTCTTCTTCTTCTTCTTCTTCTTCTTATTATTATTATTATTATTATTATTCCTGTTTCTTTCTTTCTTTTGCCTTTGTTCTTTTTTTCGCTTTTCTTCTTTTTCTTCTTCTTTTTCTTCTTCTTTTTTATTTCTTCTTTTTATTATTATTATTATTCTTTTATGTTTACCTCTCTCCTTGTCTTCCTTTTTAACTTTCCTTTTTCTTCCTCGTCTACTTCCTTTAGCTTTTCATTTCCTTTTTATTATTATTTTTATTATTAGCAATACTAGTAGTAGTAGTAGTAGTAGTGGTGGTGGTGGTGGTGGTGGTGGTGGTGGTAGTATTTTTGTCCTCTTTTTTCTTTCACTTTTCAGTTTTCTCCTATTTTTGTTTTTCATCATCCTCTTTTCCCCTCTTTGTCTTATCAATTTTCTTCTTCCATTTCAAATTTTATTTTCTTTCTATCTTCGTCTGTTTATTTTTATTTTTCTTCCTTCTTTTTTTGTGTATTTTTTAAATCTTCTTATTATTATTCTATTTCACTCTTTCTTTCATTAAACTTTTTTCCTTCGTCTTTCTTTCCTTTTTTTCACCTTATTTCTTCTACTATTTTTATTTACTTATTTATTTCTTCTTCTTTTTCCTTTTCTTTCATCATTCTATTTTCTTCTTCTTTGTTTCTCCTTCCTAAACTTTCTTCTTTTTCTTCTTCTTCTTCGAACTTTTCTCCTCTTTCTCCTCTCTTTTCTTTCTACTTTCTCTTTTCCATTTATGCTTCCCTTCACTTTTTCTTCCATGTTTTCTTCCACCTTGTCATCTTTCTTCTCTTCACTTGTCTTTTTCTTCTTTCCGTCCTCATCTTCTTCCATTAATTTCTCAATTCCTCCTTCTTCTTCTTCTACTTCTTCTTCTTCTTCTTCTTATTATTATTATTATTATTATTCCTGTCTCTTTCTTTCTTTTGCCTTTGTTCTTTTCTTCACTTTTCTTCTGCTTCTTTTTTATTTCTTCTTCTTCTTCTTCTTCTTCTTCCTATTATTATTATTATTATTCTACTTGTTTCTTTCTTTCTTTTGACTGTTCTTTTCTTCGCTTTTCTTTTTTTCTTCTTCTTCTTTTTTATTTCTTATTCTTCTTCTTCTTATTATTATTATTATTATTATTATTATTCCTGTTCCTTTCTTTCCTTTGCCTTTGTTCTTTTCTTCTTTTTTATTTTATCTTCTTCTTCTTCTTCTTCTTCTTTTTATTATTATTATTATTATTATTATTATTATTCCTGTTTCTTTCTTTCTTTTGCCTTTGTTCTTTTCTTCGCTTTTCTTCATTTTCTTCTTCTTCTTTTTTATTTCTTCTTCTTCTTTTTTCTTCTTCTTCTTCTTCTTATTATTATTATCATTATTACTATTCCTGTTTCTTTCTTTCTTTTGCCTTTCTTATTTTTTTCGCTTTTCTTCTTTTTCTTCCTCTTTTTTATTTCTTCTTTTTTATTTCTCATTCTTCTTCTTCTTCTTCTTCTTATTATTATTATTATTATTATTGTTATTATTATTATTATTATTCCTGCTTCTTTCATTCTTTCTTTCATTTGCCTTTGTTGTTGTTGTTATTGTTATTGTTGTTGTTGGTCTTCTTCTTCTTCTTCTTCACTTTCCGACATCTTGGCTTTTTTTTCATGAAAACAATCTAATTTCGGGGAGCGGGCTAAATCTGTATTCACCCTGAGAAGTGTCGCTACATATTTGACATTGACAAAACCATTCGTAAGGTGTGAGTTGTACTTGTGAGAACATTTTTTTTGTATTCCTTTAAGACTACCAGCAATGCATTCAGTGAGTCAGAACCGTTTCCCATCAAACCAAGGATCCCAACCACAAATGGAATTACTGAGGGGGGGGGTCACATTTTTTAGATTTCCACTTCAAGATCAAAGCTTAAATAAAATGGTCTTAAATAAATTGAGTTTAAATCTTGTCCTCTTCTATACTAAATACAAGTTTGAAATTAGCAACTTACGTCAATCATTATTATTATTATTATTATTTTATTTCCTCTGATTTTCTGGTGTGTACTCATTTCTGTACTGGTTCCGCCCACAAATGACATCTTAATTTAAAAAAAAAAAGAACATAATTCTTTACGTTGAAGAGAGAATTGAAAAAAAATATTACCAACTATAAAGACACGTCAAAAACATTTATTACATCACCAACCGGATAAAATTTCTATATCTGATGAAGGTATATTTCCAAAAGAAAAACGACGCGATGGCATATGAGGTGCACCACATGTTAGAAGGATGGCCCAGGCAGAATGAACACTTCTTGACTCCAGGCAGTTATCGAATCAACAGCTGCATCTTCTGCATCAGTCGAGACACTGTGTCGTGCAAGAATTTTTTTTTTTTTCTAATCAGAATCCATCTTACACATTTACAAATCTACCATTCGTCCGTGCATTGAATATTGCTGCCATATCTAGTCTGGTGTTCCTGCTATTCATCTCATTTAGAGGAGGCACGGTGGAGTAATGGATAGCGACTTGGATTGAGGAATCGGAGAGCCGAGTTCGAATTCCAGTCGAATCCATTACATTCAATTACGTGCTAACACCCTTGGGAAAAGTTGTGAATCCTCTTTCTTCTCCCTCCAGCTATGGCTAAATAGCAGGACAGCCTGGGTTATATAGCCTTGGATGGCAACTGGTCTAGGAGAATGAAAAACTCTGAATTCAAACCAGCTCTTAGAGGAGGGTGAATGGAGTCTCTCTGAGCCTTCGTTGGCAATCCATTTAGTGATGGTGTCACGATAAAAAACACACTTTATAGCCCTAGCGACGCATCAAGAATTCAGCTATTTGACAAGATTATGAACTACACCAATCAAAGTATTGGTGAGTTCAATCTCGGCTGAGGCCACAAGATGATGATGATTCATCTCGAGGTTCTTGAAAAAATCCAAAGAAGTATCGACCTTAACTTAGCATCTCGACTTCAGTCACTTTTTCACTGATATGACGTGACTTCCCTCTGTCATTTTTTACAACTATTTTCATGGCTACGGCTCGGATAAGCTTTTCTCCTTGCTGTCCCGACTACATAAATTTAAGCGTGCTGCTAGATTGGCATCTAGGTCCCACCCTTTCACAGTTGAAATACCAAAACGCAACCGCCACTACTACTCCAAAGGTTTCTTTTCTCGCACTTCCCGCCTGTGGAACTCCCTTCCGTTTCCTTGCTTCACTGATAACTACAATCTTCAGAAATTTAAATGCAACGTCAATCGCAATTTTCTCTCTTCTTGAATCCCGTCCATCTTTTGTTCTTTTCTCCCTGTAACAACCCCCACCCGCGTACTTGTGGTATCGTCACCTTGTCTAATGTGAAATACTTACAAAAAAATAGATTAATAAAAACAATATATATATATATATATATATATATATATATATATATATATATATATATATATTGGTTGAGAAAGATAGTTAGAGAGAGAGGATGCCAGAAAGTTAAGTGGGATAATATTAATGGTAAATACACACACACACACACACACACACACACACACATATATATATATATATATATATATATATATATATATATATATATATATATATAGTTAAACCTAGAGAACCAGACAAACCTACCAAGGTTTCACATAAGCGGATCGTCATTGTATTGGGCACTTTATTTAGTTGGTTTGCGTACTCGTATCGTTTTTTTTTTTTTTTGGGCCTTGGACTTGGATGCTGGACAATTATTTTCGGCTATCGTACATGTTTTTGGTTCTTTCTTATTTTATATTTTTTTCCATTTGTTATTGGGTTGTTTATTTGCAAATCAATACAATACAGTATAGTTTCTTATACTTATAAGATTTTATTAATATATATATATATATATATATATATATATATATATATATATATATATATATATATATATATATATATATAAATAAAATTAGAGGATAGAATCCAGGTAGAACTCAATGTACAGGACAGAGTAACAATATAATAAAAGTCTTAAACACTAATATTCCATGATTATAATTTATTACATTGGAATCGTAATCACGATCCAATTCATCAGACGTACAAATTCAAAAAGTAGGTAGGTTTGATGAATTGGATCGTAATTACGATTCCAATGTAATAATTTATAACCATGGAATATTAGTGTTTGAGCCTTTTTTATATATATATATATATATATATATATATATATATATATATATATATATATATACTTCATATTTACAAATCTACCATTCGTCCTTGATGGAATAATGTTGCCATATATGGTCTGATGACCCCGCTGTTTATCTTGAGGTTCTCGACAAAATTCAAAGACAGATATGCAATGTGATAGGTCCTGACCTGGCATCTCGACACCAGTCACTTTCTGAAAGACGTGATGTGCCTTCCCCTTGTCTTTTCTACAAATATTTTCATGGCAAATTCTCTGACGAGCTACTTTCACTTGTGCCCCAACTGCAATAATTTAAACGTGCTATTAGGTTGGCATCTAGGTCCCACTTGTTTACTGTCAAAGTAGCTTAATGCAACCGCCACTTCTAGACCAACAGTTTTTTTTTCTCGCATTTCCCGCCTGTTGAACTCCCTTCTGTTGATGCGCTTTCTTGATAACTATAATCTTTAAAAAAAATTAAATCCGTCTTTAATTGCCTTATTCTATTCAATTGAAACCCCGTTAATCTTTTGTCCTTTCCTCAATCTTCCTTATTCTCAGTCTTCTTTTTCCTTTTTCACTCCCCGTAAACCCCTGCGTACTAGTGACAATCGCGCCTTGCTTGGTGTGAAATGTTTTAAAAAAAAGATTTAAATGACTTACTAGCCACTTTTCTCCCGCTATGAATTGACGTCACTAAGCGGCTGTCACGTGTCTTCATCTCACTCAAAGGGAGAAACTCGCCTTTTGTATCCGTTTAGAAAAATAGATTTTTAACCATGAAGCCATTTCTCAGGTCCAACTGATTGTTTCTAATTGTTTCTGTCTGCTGATAGTTTAAAACTTCCTAAAACTGTGGGTGATTATAGGCCTGGTTACTTTTATGGCACGATAAGAACACACAAACTATCCTCTCCGTCCTAATACATTGCAACTTCCCACCCCCGTGTATCAATTAACAAAAATCATCGACCAACTTATCACACCATACATTCCCAGTAAGTACAGCATAAAATCAACTCTTAGATTAATTCAAATTCTAAAAAAAACATATCAATGCAATCGTCGCATCACTTGACGTCGAAAATTTATTCACTAATGTCTTGTTAGCGAAAGTATCGATGTTATTATAAGAAATATATACAATAATCGATCTCTATCTCCACTTAAAATTAGACCTAGTGTATTACGTAAACTATTGCTAATTTCCACTGCCGAAATCCAATTCTATGATCACAAAATATATATATATATATATATATATATATATATATATATATATAGAGAGAGAGAGAGAGAGAGAGAGATAGAGAGAGATAGATAGATAGATAGATAGATAGATAGATATAAAAGGCAGGATATGTGTGTGTGTGTGTGTGTGTGTGTGTGTGTGTGTGTGTGTGTGTGTGTGTGTGTGTGTGTGTAACGAATGCATGGCTGCAATTTTCGACGGATTTGCACTAAAATTTACATGGACATGCTCCAAGTTAGCGGGAAGGTCAAGACCGACTTTGCATTTCCCAACTCCCATCGATAGTGGAAATAATCGATTTTTTCATGCTTCTACGGCACTTTTCATATAGTTTGCGGCCATTTTCTACTGGCCAGAGTGAGAGCCTATAGCTGGCTGCCACGAATAGGCAGGAAGATTCTATTGGCCAGCATGAGAGCCAACAG